TTACCTACACACACTGTCACGTCACGTTGTAACCATCTTATATATACCAGACAACCCCAATCTACTAATCTCCCGATAATTCCCGAAGGTTCGAGAGAAGGAGTGGCGTGATACTAGTCAAGTGACCTCGCTGACGCAACAGTAGCATCGTTGAGTTGTTTTATTCTGTTTCTATGTTTTAAGCTATCAGATATATGAGCAAACTTTATAATGTATACAGCTTCGATTTTATTTACAGAAGACTATCAATTATTGTGTATAAAACAATTTCAGTTACTGTATATGAGAGGGTTTTATATAAAGTAAAAATTTTAAATTTCAGATAATGCATGAACACCAATTAGAACGCAATAAAGGATGTTGTCTAAGTACTAAAACATTCTATCATTATTCACATTTATTTAAAACTAAATTTAAATATGCACCATGGAGAAATCCAGAAAAAAATGCAATTTTAACGACTTGTTATTTTGCTTCCCGTTTTAAGTAATAAAAACTAAAACAGTGTTACGACACGGAAGTCACGTGACGCTGGTAACACGTCATGAGATTCAAGAAGGATCTTCACTTTTCCTGGCAACTCTGTTCTTTTATAGGCGCCCTCTTTTTTCTATATAAGCCCGGCAAATAAAGCGGAGAAATAAAAGCAGATAGAGAGATACAGAGCCAGATAATTGAGTCAAGCTAGCGGTAGTGACCATAAGTAAAGTGCGTGAATCGTTGTGAATTATAGGGTGTGTTTAAGTTAAACTGACTGTGAAAATTAAGTGTATTGCAAAGTTGTATTGAGAAAGAATAAACTAGTTTTAGTTAAGAAAGGACTTGTATCGCTGAAGTTCTTCGGAAAGAATTTTTACTGCAAATTAACAAACGAACAGAGACGTAACAACACTACGTTTTATAATATCTAGTTTTAGCCTCAAAGAAAATACTTTTACAACGTTCTAAAATAACTAGATTTAGCCTCAAAGAAAACGTTTTACTACGTTCTAAAATAACTAGATTTAACCTCAAAAGAAATACTTCATTTTTTCTTTCACTCACGTTTTAATTTCTAAATGTATTACTTTCTTTGCATCTAATAGAACATTTTCAGGGGCGGAAGTTGTTAGAACTGAAGCTACCTATTGCTTCTTAGTCTAACATATAGACCCTTCCACAGCTAATGAAAAGTGCTTATTTTTAAAGACGGTTTACTTCCTAAATACTATAAGGTGTGCCCACAAAACGTAGAATGCACCACCCTTAACTTTATGCCCAGTCAACAATAACCTTCAAATGGAAGAGAATGGGGTTACTCCTGAATATTTTCTGATCCATGAAGTTTTTTTTTTTGTAGTTAAGCGTTAGAGCTACACAATAGGCTATCTGTGCTGTGCTCACCACGGGTATTGAAACACGGTTTTCAGCGTTATAAGCTATTAGACTAACGCTATGCCAGTGGGGACAGGGGCATTTATATTTTTAAAAAATATTTTTTTTTTAAATAAACTCCACTAAACTGTACAGGCATGGACAAAGTAGATATTATCTGTTAGAGAACAACAAAGAAACAAAGGTAACTAGAACAAAATAATTGAACGGTTTTTCTTGACCAAGTACTTGAGTATGTTACAATTGCATATAATTCATTTGAATGATAAAAAAAATTTTTTTACTCTTAACTTTGATCCAAAATTATTAAATCAAAACCACTAGTAAAATATGGTTGAACCTAACCATGAAAGCTAGATAATTGTATCTTTTAACTATCGTTGTGTCAATTAATTTTAGTCTCTCTTTTTTCATAAAATAAATAACACGTGTGCGACTTCTGTCATACTTTTTAAATGTATTTTCATCCAAATATATACAAATCTATTATATTGTACACTAGATGGAGTTCTCGTCCCCTGAACGGAAGTTATGTAAATTCGCAATTAATGTAAAGTTATCTTAGAATATGAAAAGTTGTCTCTCTTATATGTTATTGTAAAAAATACCTATAAAAACCACAGAACTGAAAATATGTTTATACCTCCTTATGGACCCAACAAACCTCTATGCCAAGTTTGGTGAGGATCCAACAACAGGGGGTGAAGTAGTTAAAATACGCCCATAAAAACTGCATAACTCAAAACTGAAAATTTCTATGTATCTCCCCATGGACTCAATGAGCCCTCATAGCAAATTTGGTGAAAATTCATCTACAAGGGGCGAAGTAGTGGTAAAAAAACGCCCATAAAAACCGCAAAACTGAAAATTTGTATGTATCTCCGCATGGACCCAATGAACTTCGATAACAAATTTGGCGAAGATTCATCCACAGGGGGCGAAATAGTGATAAAAACGGCCATACAAACCGCAAAACTGAAAATCTGTGTATATCTCCCCATGGATCCAATGAATCTCTATACCAAATTTTGTTAAGATCCATCTACAGGGGGCGAAATAGTGGTAAAAAACGCAAAAATGCCCACAAAAACCGCAAAACTGAAAATTTGTATGTACCCTCGCATGGACCTCATTAACCTCCATACCAGTTTTGGTGAAGATCCATCCACACCCTGCAAAGTAGTTACATGGACATACAACACTATTAGTATTATATAGATATGCAATTTTTTTTTAATGTTTTTATCACACGCGTCGAAGTTCAGTTTACTTGGCTTAAGACGCTAGGGTTCAAAATGGCAATGGTTTACTGATGAGCGTGGATATCGTTCTAATACTATTAGTAATGGTAATATCGATTTGTAGTTCTTTTCGAATTTAGCGTGAAGTTTTAAACCTTGTGAGTATTTGAAACTATTTAGTTTCTTACTATTTTCAGTAATTACAAAAACAATTATTCTGAAAAATGTTTAGTTATATTTTGCGAAGTTACAACAATAAAACTTCAACTTAAAGTTAAAACTAAAAGTAA